AACGAAAACAAGCAAACAAAAAAACTATGTGAGAAAGAGGTAGAGAAGGAGTCAGAACTTTTTGTTGCTTTTTTTTTCATTTTTATTTATTGATTTGAGACAGAGAGAGTCAAAGGGATTGAGGGAGAGAGAGAGAGAAACATTATTTTTTTGTTCCACTTATTTATGTATCCATTGGTTGATTCTCATATGTCCCCTGACCAGGTATCGAACCAGCAACCCTGGAGAACGTATTGGGATGAAGCTCTAACCACCTGAGCTACTGGGCCAGGGCGTAGAAGTTTACTTTTGGATACAAGAAAATGCCTAATGGGCAGCAGTACGTATGTGTCTGGAGTTCAGGGACAAGGCCCCACTCAGAAAGATACATTAGGGAGTCAGAGCATAGATGGCAGTTTAAGCTCTGAGACTGGATGAGGTCACCCAGGGATTAAATGTACATAATGAAGAACAGAGCCCCCAGGGACTGAGCCTGTGGCTTGCAGCGTTTCCAGATCAGCTAAATGAGGAAGAAGCAGCAAAAGAAACACGGGTGGCCATGACTGGCAAAACAAGGGCTCCAGACAGGGAGATGGCCCAAGTGAGGGCTCTGGACGTAGGTGTGACTAATTTCCCACCATTCTCTTCTCTTGAGCCTTCGCATTAGAAAGTAAGTTGGGTGTGTGTGTAGACACATGTGTGTGTGTATAGGGAGATGTGATAATATCTTACATGTGACTAGCACTTTGGAGGTTGTAACATTTCTTTCACTCGTTTGACGCAAAGGGAGTGTAGCTGCTATCATCTCATCTTACAGATGAGTAAACTGAGGCACAGAGGTTAGGTTACTTGCTGAAATGACAGGCATACCTCATTTTATCGTGCTTCATTTCATTGTGCTACACAGATATAGTCTTTTTTGTTTGTTTGTTTGTTTACAAATTAAAGGCAAGACCCTCCCCAGCAAAAAGATGACAACTGGCTTTACTGTGACCCTCCCTTTATTGTGGTGGTCCGGAAGTGAACTCACGAGGTCTCTGACCTTTGCCTACACATCAGTAATAGGTAGCAGACCCCGGACTGGAAGGAGACATCTGCCCCTGAGTGTCCGGCCTTCACTGAACTATGCTGCCTTGGGGGTTGGCATCTGCCCTAGGAGCATGCTGCAGAGGTGGCAAAGGCATTGTGGGACTGACAGTGAAGCAGGAGATGAAATCTTTGCGTCCTTGCCACTGTTGGCCTGCATGTTTCTGCGTTCCCAACGACTGCTTCTGCGGGGACAGATTGTAACAGGGTTATACAGAGATAACTTGAGGTGCATTTTAAGCTTGAAATGATTTTTAAGCTTTTATTTCCATAGCAGCAAGGAAACTGCTACTATTATTGCCCTCAGAGGGGTCGGTGCCTATGATCTCAGATTCCCAAAACTGCCAGCTCAGATGAACCTATATCCCACTAGAAATTGTCAACCGGGGGTAGGATTGAGGGTGGGAGGTGGGGGTAGATGGGGAGGGGGGACATGGTGGCGGGAAAATGGAGACAGCTGTACTCTAACAATAAAAAAATTAAAAAAAGAGAAATTGTCAGATGGAAGCAGAAGGTCTTATTTGGGGGATGTTCACTTCGGGTGAGGACGATGATACATCTACTTTGGTTTTCGTGCGGTTGGATTAACAGGTACCTTCAGAGATGGAGCAGCTTCTGGGCTGGGCTCTTCCACTCACTCCACCAAATGACTGCTTTCATCTTACTCCCTCTTGGTGTGTTGCTCAAAGCAGTACATTCTCTCCAAACTTATTTTCATGCCTTTAAGGAGCTGCTCCTGAGATCCAGAGGCTCCACTGGTCAAGCTTGGCCCTGCCCGGGGGAGATATAAACAGATTGCAATGCTGGTGAGTCAGGCAGCGTTGGACAGCTGCTCCCTCACAGTGCCCCTGGTTGCTCCTGATAAGGAAGAACACGGCTCATGCCAGCGTGCTGCTGGGTGTGCAGACACTTGTGAACAGACACTCCCAGGCCCCAGTGTTGTCTTAAGAGTAAATTATTGACATTCGGAAAGGCTGAACATTGGGGAAAAAAAGGTGAGCGCAAACTAACTCTGCTCAAGATAAGCTCCGGGTTTCAGGAGCCAGTAGTAGTAAGTAAAACCAGGGCTGTTATTTGGCACCATTTGGAGGCACCTCTTGAACCTACCTGGTCAAAGGCAGGTTTCAGGAATCCTCGTGCTCTGGAAAGAGGAGCAGAGGTTGCAACAGAGGACGGGGTGCAGGGGTGGGGGATTGCAGTGGGGGGAAGGACAGCAGAAGAGGGAAGACAGATTTATGAAGGAGCAAATGGCAGAAGGCCCAGAGAGGAAAGGCATATCATTAAAATGTGAACATATCTTTACTGCAAAGAGAAGAAACTGATTGTGTGACATCTTTTTAAAACTCCCTCCTCCCAGAGTGAATGCCCTTTTCCTTAAACGATGTACAGTGTACCATAAGGTGTGGGGCAAATAGGGGGTTGATATTAATGATACAATAATGTTGCCACCAATATCATATTATACCTTGTAATGAACACTTCATGTTAACTTTATGAAAAGCAGTTTATAGTTTACAAGGGGCTTTCCCATTCATCTTTTCCATTTCCTCCAACAGCCCACTCAGGTTATGAGCCACATTTTACAGATGAGAAAATTGAGGCTCCAGGAGGATATATGCAATTAACTGAGGCATAATTAGGAACTAGGGAGGGGCAGCTTTGTCCTAAGTAACCCAGAGCTATGATACTTACTAGACACACTAAGGAGGGTGATTCCTTTTCTGATCAGAGGGCCAGGTCTCCACTGTGTTTCCAGGTAGAGCAGCCTTACCTTCTCCAGTATTGTCCAGAACAAGTTTCTCCAACTAAACAATTAGCATAGCATCTGTGAAGAGTAAAGCACCAGGGAAAATTCCTAAATGCACCTCATGCTATTCTTTCTCAGTGTCCCATCCTCGACCAGTTCTTTCTGTTCTGGAAACAATAACTTTGGGTCCTCTAAGCATGTCATCTTGCTCTCAGGTGGGTGGGAAATATCCTTACCTGCACAGGACATTATGGAAGCACAGGACCCACCTCAAGGGGTCAGGCAGGTGTTTTGAAAGTGCCGATACCTGTTGGGATCTTCAAGCAGTGGTTCTCAAACTTTGGCCTGCATCAGAATCATCTGGGGAGCTTGTTAAAGACACGGACATCCAAGCCCCACCTAGACCTTCTGAATCAGAATCCTCAGGGGTGGGGCCTGGACATTTGTGAACTTAACAAGCTCCCTAGGTGACTCTGAAGTACACCAAAGCTTGAGAAGCACTGTCTCATCATGGGAGTGGGAGTTACTCAGGTGAAGGAGAGTGGGGAGTCGTGTTGGGAGAGGAGGGAGCAGCAACAGGAGTCTGAAGAACCAAGAGGAGACACAGTCAGGAACAATTTTCTTCACCATCCTTATCTTCCTCTAACAAAGTGGTCATATAAAGGGGTTAGAAATCCCTTTCTTCAGGCATGTCCTCTTTCTTATAGAATTGCTGTGTGCACTAGGAATGAATAATGCACCCCTTTTAGAAGAAATCAAAATAGCCCCTTTTTTCAGAAAATAGAGTAGAGGTTACTAGGGGCTGGGGGGGTGTGGAGGATGACTGAGGAGTTACTGTTTAATGGGTACAGAGTTTCTGTTTGGGGATGACGAAAAAGTTCTGGAGATGGGTAGCTGTGATGATTGCACAACACAGTGAGTGTGTTCAATATCACTGAACTGGACACTTCAAAATGGTGAAAATGGCAAATTTTGTGTTATGTATATTTAGCACACCCACACAAATTAGCCAGTTTTTTGAGAGATGTAATGATAGGAGCCAACAACTTTCAACTTTAGCTGATTGCTGCTGCCTCAGGGGTGAGTGTGTGTGTGCGTGTGTGGTTGACAAAACACAAATGGATTCATAGATAAAAAATTTTGAAAAGTGATGGCAATGAAAAAGTGTTTTATATATATAAGATGTCTAGAACTCTCTTTCCTGCCCCTTTTGCCTGGTTGACTCCTGGGTTCCAAATCATTTTTTTTTGGAGTGGCTTGTTGAGTAGTGTCTCTCAAACTTCACCGAGCATAGAAATCACCTGGGGACCTTGTTAAACTGCACATTCTCATCCAGTGTGTCTGAGGTGAAGCTCTGGCCTGCATTTCCAACAAGTTCCCAGGTGATGCTGACACTCTAGATCCACAGACTACATTGAAGGGCTGTGGAAATTTATTCTTTGTTTACCATGATATCCTTATGTCTAGCACAGTGATTGGCATACAGTAGGTGCTCAATAAATATTTACTGAATGAATGACAGAGTACATAGGGTTGGTATAGGAGTTTGGAGAGCAGACAATCTTTGTCCTGAACTACAGCATATTTAAGGTGCTTCTGCTTCTAAAAGTCATTCACGTTGTAAAATTACCTCATACTCTGTAAAGTAAGGATGTGAGTACAGCATTATTCTGGGCCTTGTCACCTTGCTACCCGAACTCTAATCTTTGAAATAGTTGTCCTATATGCATGGAGGTTAATGAACTCTGATTTGCAAGCTCTGAGAAAGCCTTGCTATAGTCTAAAATCGCTGCAAACAAATTCTCTCCATCCAAAGAGGGAGCAAAGTGCAGGGATCCTGCTAGTGTGGGGATTTTCCAGATTTTGGTGCCTGAATAATTGCCCCCTTGGCCTCCGCAACTCAAATACACATCCTTTTTAATAGTGTGTGTGAGAAAGAGATTCATTACCCCAAAACACATGAATGCATTATTTCTATTAATTACTATTATCATTTACGATGATGATAACGACACTAGCAGCTGAGCAATTAAGAGTGTAGGTCAGTAAAAGGAGGGGGAGCAGGGTTGTGAGGCAGGAGAAAGAAAAACTACATCTCCCAGAACCCCACAGGAAAGCCACGCCACGGCGGCGCCCACCCCTTTTGCCTGCTGGACACGCCCCCACCGATGACGTCACAGAGGTGACATCACGGCGCCCAGAGCGAGGCTGGGGTAGGGAGGCCGACTTAGCTGGAATCGTCCGCTGGTCGTGGAGGCTGCTAGGGAGCCGGCGAGGGGGAGAGCAGGCGAGCAGACGAGCTAGTTAGAGCAGGCAGGAGGGAGTGTTGTGCGGCGCAGAGTAGCGCCGGGGCCGGGCCGCGAAGGAACCTACAACCGGAGAGGGGCAACCCGAGCCGGGCGCCGCGGGTCCCCACCCCCACTCGGCCGGACAGTGCCCGGTGTTCCCCCGTGCGGGGGGCGGCGGCGGCGGCGGCTGACTGGACCCGACAGCACCGCGGGGGTGTTGCCACCTCCACCGAGGAGCCGGCGCGGCCGCGGGCTCCTCAGAGCCGGGGCCCAAGGCCCGTGACAGACGGGCCGAGGAAGGAAGGGAGGAGGCGGCGGCGGCGCAGGCGACGGGGAGGCAGCGGCGACACCATGTCATCCCCCAGTCCGGGCAAGAGGCGGATGGACACGGACGTGGTCAAACTGTATCCTTCGTGGAGGAGGGAGGATTCGGGTTGTAGGTGGGGGGCGGTGTGGGGATGCTTAGGGCACCCCCTGAAACCCAAGCAAGGGCCCTGGGGCACTCCAGGCCACTGTCCGAGGCGCCCCCTTCCTTCCCTTCCCCCAGTGCCTACGGCGGCTCCTTGGCACCTCCCAGGAGCCGAGAGCCTTTTCAGCTCCCCCTTTATTTCCAGTACCCCGAAATGTGCGTTTTTTCCTCGCTCTTTCTGCAACACCCCCCTCCCGCCCCAGTGCCCGTGACTTTCCTCCACGACTCTTGGACTCCCAAGACAGCCTTTAAAAAAAAAAATTTTTTTTTTTTTTGGCAAGACCAGTCACCAAGCCCATCTTTTAAGGTCTCTCTCTCCTGTTTGCTTCTGATTTAGGAACTCGAGATAGAAATTCCCGAGAGTGAAGCCTTTCCCCCTTTCTTGAGATGCCTCCATTCTCTCCACTCAGTGCTTCTTGAACTGGGGTAACTCGAATGACCTCCTTTATCTCTAATTCCTTTCTATATTAGGAAGAGTGTAGTCTGCTCAGTGCCCCTCTTGTAAGTGATGAAGAGCTCTGAGTGTTTTAAATCAGAGACCCCCGTTAAAGGCTCCTTGGTCCCTAGAAGAAGCCCAGGTTTTTTTCCCACTGACAAAGCCTATCCTACCCATAGTTGTATGTGGTGAGGACCCCCAGGCCCTCCAGCAAGCCACCCTCCATATTGTGGATATGACAGCTGGGGCGAGGGAGAGAAAGACAATCTCCTTGACAGAATAGCTCCTGTACTAGCCACTTAAGGCAGTTCCCTTTATGAAGATAAGGTTCTTTGGGAATAATTGCCAACGACACCCTTTATTTTTCTACCCTCCCCCCTGGCCCCAAGTTTATGTACTCTGGAGGTAGCAGTGGGAAAGCTGTAACTGATAAAGAGTCCTTCAGGCAGTGGTTTTGGTTGGAGTCCAGACTGATTATTTCAGGACCAACTAGAGAAATTCGCGAAGGTTCCTGTGACAAATCGAGAAATTTTTTTGAGGGGTGATTTAGAGAGTCGGGGCGGGGAGGGGGGGAGAGGAAATGAGCCCAGTGTTCTAAACAACTGATCACTGGGGAGAGGGGGAAGCAGGGGTGGGGAGTGTTAGTGTGTGAAACACAGTTAAAAAGTCCTGTGTCCTGCTTCTCTTTCTGTCTTACCCCCATCCCCCCACCATTTCCCCCCTGTTGCAGGGTTTTGTTTATATAACTCAAGTTGTTTGGCTGGATTCTTCAGGTGAATTCTTTCTTTCTTCCTTTTATTTGTTACTGTTTGTGATTGGACGTTTTACCTCTGTAGAGATCGATGATTGTTGCTAAATACTCAGTACTCAGTTATGGAATTTGCTAAAGTTTTTAAGCAAGTAGTTTTTGCATTTGGTTTGGAAGCGGGGGATGGGAGGGAAGTTCCTGGGCAAGTGATTTTCTTTTCATAATCTTTCCAGGAATAAGAAGGTGTTTTTCTCTTCACTTAGGAAAACTTGGCTAGAAATTAGGAACAGATAGACTTCTAAGTTTTAGGGTTTGAAATTTAGAATTTTGGGGAGGTGGGAGTGGAGATTAGAGAGAGGAACAAGTACTAAAGTGTATATTATGTACCAAACATATGTCCAGGCTTAAGCGAGACTCTTTATGAGCTGTTTGTGGCTCTGATTGAGTTTTGTAAATGTGTGAATGATACCAGTAATGTTGGCTTTTCATAAGGTTTCAGGAAAACTTGCAACGGTGGCTGCGTGTACATTTTACATAAAGCAGTTTTGGATTTTATTTTTGTTTAGAAACTAGGAAATGACATGGTGGCAGAATCTGAGTTATTTTTATCTTGAATTCAGAGTTACTGTCACACCTAATGCAAATTTCTACCTAATGTTTAATTAGGATGGGGGTGGGTGGGAGAATGCCAGCTGTTTTTGATCAATGTCAGGTTCTCAAATTGTATACATATATATTTTTAGAAGATTGAGGATAAAGGGTGAGGCCTAACTTGACCTGATGCCTTTTCCATATAGTGCCTTTTGTTCATTTAGTAGTTGTGGCATCTAGAATGATTACCGCATTTAGGAGTCGGGGTGTGGGGGGTGGAGAGGCAGAGGAAAACAGACAAAGAACTGCAGGGTGTCTTTCTTTTTTTCTTCCCCTAAGTGGCTTATTTCATAGCTTATTTTTAGTAGAAGATAAAGAAAGGCTAAGATGTATTGGCCTTCTGTTCTTTCCCCACCTTCTTTCTGACAAAAGAAAGCAGAGGCGCTTTAAAATCATAGATCTCTGAGATAGGAGAACAGCAGTCTCTGGATTTAAAAGGCAGAGGTTATCTTTGTTTCCCATTTGTGATTTTCTAGGTTAACATAGTTTGGAAGTTAAAATTTCCTACATCCTTTTGTGTGTGCTTATGTCTTGTCGGTTGAGAGATTTTGTGGCCTCCTTTCTCTGTTGAATTCACATTAGCAGGCCCAAATGGAGCCAACAGTTTTTTGAGCAAGGTATAGTTAGCAAAAAAAAAAAAAAAATTTTACGGAAAAAAATTCCCTAACCCACTATGAAAATGAGCACAATTGTGTGAAAGGGCTGGGGGTTGAAAATGAAAGATGGTGGAGAGGAAGTAGAAAAGGTCTGAAGGAATGTACTTGTTTTTTTGCCCCTTAGTGTCCCTTGATGATTTCTTTGGTGTGGAGGCTGATAGCTGGCTTCATTGCAATCTCCTGTTTTCAGCCCATTTTTGGATGTCTCCCGTGTGTAATTATGCTACAAGGATTTACAGCCTGGTAGGGAACCTGTATAGTAGGAAAGTAGTGGTGTGGGGGTAGGGAGAGAAGAGGATGTGTAACTAATTGGCCACTGCCTTCCACCACCTCCCTAGACACTGACTCTGGTTGTTTGGAGTCAGTGCTATTTCTTTTGTGATGGGTTGGTAGGAGGAGAGCTGACTTCTAAGTTATACAGGGAGTGAGTGTTTTGCACCAATTCACTTATTCACTTAATAATCTGCTGGGCATTATGTTCTGAAACTCTGACTCATTCATTGTTTCTCTTCTGATCCTTCGCTGAGTGTTGTGCAAACCTCTCCAGGAGCCTAGAAACTGATGTACATGACTTTTGGGCCTTGTTAAAAGTGTGGCCCAATCAGAAAACTTAGACTTAGCCTAAATCCTATGGAATGGTTGTGAATAGTGTGGCCATTTGTCTGCAAAGTCAGGTAGATGAGTAATACTGTGCTGTTTCCAGCCTGGCAGTCTTTGAGGTTTCCATCTCAAACTCTGCTGCTTATTTAGATTGTCTGAGAACTGGGACTTTGGTGACCTTAAAGCGTGATTTGCCCTAAAGGAATATCGGTTGAAATTCTCCCAGCTAGAGGAACAAACAGCTCAGATTACACGGGTTTCCTTGTTGGTGGGGGTTACTCGTCTCACCCTGTTGCACAGCCTGGTGATCCTTTTATCTGTGAACCAGTGGCCCCTGCTGAAGGCTGGAGCTGCTTGTTTTGGAAAAGCGTTTGCAGGCAAAAGGCCGCAGGCACAGCTCCTCACAGCTCATTGGCTGCTCTGTTACTACCCGGAAAAGGAGGAGGGGTGGAGCTTCCAAACAGCTGATAGAGTGTGTGGTGGAGTGTGTTTATATACAAAAGAAGTAGGGGCTGGGGAGGCCTTGTGCTTGGTGTTACAGGATCAAGTGCGTTTTCAGGGGTAAAAGAGGAAAGGAAAATCCGAGCTCATAGAAGTGAAAGAAACGTTCAAGGTTAAATCAGAAAAGGAGATCTGATAATAATGGGGACTTGGCATACTCTGTATTTGTTGTTGGTGTGAGATTTTAGAACTTAAAATACCAAGAGTTTTCAAAGATTCCCTTTTTCAGAGGGAGTGCAGTAACTTGAAACAGGATATGTTGCTACTTTGTGTTCTTAACTGACTCTTGCAGAGACTCAAAAGTATGATAGAATGTAAGCTTCCTTTGCAAAAGCTTTGAGTTTCAGAAAGGGGGCAGTGACTTACACTAAATTCATTAACGGCATTAGTGAATCTTACAGAGTCCTGGGTATCTGCTTAGGACTCAGAAGCTTTCAGTAACATTTCATCCCCTTACATATTTGAGTTTCCCCTTTGTGCCATGTTTGGTGTTAGTTAGGTGCTGGGGGTTTAGTATTGAAAAATTCCTTAGGGGTTGTCATGATGCTTCTGTAACTAGTCAGTTTTTTTAAAAAGTCAGCACTGTATATAGAGCACCTTTTTGAATAATTTGTATTTGCTTTCAGAATTGACCTTTCAATGAATAGAAAGGTTAAAATGTGAATTTTATTTGATGGGATGTATGGGAATATTTGTTTCTGTTTATTTTTTTCACTTTATTTATTTTTAGAGAGGGGAAGGGAAGGAGAGAGGGAGAAAAAGGTTAATGTGTGGTTGCCTCTCACATGTCCCCTACTGGGGACCTGGTCGGCAACCCAGGCATGTGCCCCTAATTGGGAATCGAACCAGCAACACTTTGGCTCACAGGCCCGTACTCAATCCACTGAGGTATAGCCAAGATTTGTTTCTGTTATTTAGAAGGAAGATGTTAGCCCTGGCTGGTGTGGCCTAGTGGAGTGAGTGCCAGCCTACGAACCCAAAGGTTGCTGGTTTGATTCCCAATTAGGGGCACATGCCTGGGTTGCCAGGTAGGTCCCCAGTTGGGAGTGTGCAAGAGGCAATTGATCAATAATGTATCTCTTACACATTGATGTTTCTCTCCCTCTTTTTTCCCTTCCCTTCTCTCTAAAAGTAAATAAATCTTAAAGATATTAAAAAATGGAAACAAACACTAAAGTGTGTAGCCATTTGTCTTCGACATCCAGGTTAGTTAGTATTTTGCTGTTAATCAGTAGTTATTCTGTCCTTTAGTTAGTAATTTTTGTTACTCTTTGATTAGTGCTCAAAGTGTAGAGAATTATGTAATCTTGTTATCAATTGCCATGTCATTTGGGAACCTGTGT